TCATGTCAATTTAATAACTACATGAAAACCTAAATCAATGGTTATTTTGTCAATTGCTACAATTCCAAATACATGAAAGATAAATATATTTTAATCATTAACAATTATATATGATATTTACTTGTCAAGTACAATTACCTCTGTGTTTGTATCTTTTTAGAAGATAATAGTCAAATAAATGGTACTCATTAATTTTTATTCTTTGTTCAAGTGCAAAGATGAAAATGGGATATCTGTTTTGTGCCAACCGCAAGGATCGAATCTTATCGTTGTAAGCTCCGAAATTTAACATTAAGACACGGGAATCGTATTGTAATAAAACAGCAGCAACAAATGTAAAATATTCAGTACTTATGATTTATGTAAATGGAAGCAGACAAAGCAAGATCCGTTGAAGGAATATGTGATATATGCGTGGTAGTTTCTAGTTTATTACAATAAGATGTATAACAATTTTGATCACATCATGAGATTTACAAACTGTAAAAGTATTCAGACATTTTGTTTTCATATCTAGTTTATTACCTGTATTATTAAGAGAAATGGTTGAACTTTCTGATTTTATTTCGAAGTTTCTTATTTTCTGAAATAATTAAATCAAACTAACCCCATCTACTTAGTTTGTTAATATATTTCCTGTAATATTACGGACATGTATTTAACACCTTTGATACATATTATTGTCGAACCTGGCATCTTGATTTTCGATTGAATACTTTTAGTTTGTTCTCATATTTATTAATTGTATCATAATTCTTATACCATAATTTTGGTTTCGGTTTCCTTTTTTGTTTAACCTATTCTATATGGCTTGATTAGATTTTTAGCCTTCCATAGTTTAAAATTATTCTTTTGAAATATATTCCTTTTCCTTCCAAAACTGAAACGCGCGAGTATACAAAGACAGTAAAACAACTACGTTATTCTGTAGTCTACTGAAATGGATCTACAACTTTTCGAAATTTCCATGAGGATGAATAATTTGTAACTTGGAAAACACTTTTCCATTTTTCTTATAATTTTTGGGGCATTCATTTTCTGCCTTTCACTGCTCTTTCTCGACAAACCTTTTTAAATAGATACTTTTCCTATCAAGTGCGTTTCTTATCTCTCATAAAACACGTTAAAGGTTTGTACGGTTATGTTGGTACCTCTACACTTGCCCTTATTGCATGTATCGATAATCAAATTTACCGAATGCACCTTTTTATCATATACATCAAGTACTTTTCAGTGAGAGAGTATATGACATGATAACATTAGATTCTCTATAAGATTTTGTGATAAATCATAAAACATTTCGGTTTACTCCTAAGTATTTCTGTGACGTATGTTATCACATTTGTTACTTTAAATTTAGCTTTCAACAAGAAATGATTTGCGAGATGTCCATTTCGCGGAAGGCAACTCCTGTAGAAATATCTTTCTTGCTTGGCAATCTCGTTATAAGGAAAAACCCACCTGGCATTTTGAATGAAACAAATGGGTAAAGAACATTAACAGGTGATATTTTCTTTCCTTCGCAGCAGGGGGTATTATCTCGGAGTTTTTCTATATAACTAGTGAAAATGGTTGGCTTAAGCTGCTAAAAGGTTTGGCAATATAATATTTGTAGAGTGTGTATTAGTTTCCGCTTAACATTTCATTATTAACTGAAGGTCTACTTTTTATACTGCAAAATACAGATGTATCTGAATTAACTACTAGCATCAAACAAAGTGGCTAAAACTTCAGCAGAAGATGGCCACAGAATTGTGTTTCTGACTGAAATAGCTTGCATCACTCGATTTTCAAGGTTTGGTATCCAAAGCATAATCAACAAGTACAGAAAAAATCACCTGTAACTAACAAATCCAGAACTTGAAGACCCAAAAGGTTGTCTAACAAGGATGAACAATATTTGAAGATAATATCCTTAAGGAATATAAAGAGGACAAACGTTGAAATGACAACAGAACTGAAAGAAGGCTCAGGTCTTGTCATCCATCCATCCATCCACAGTATGGCGGTCACTTTTGAAATCAGAACTTAAAGTATGTGTTGCAGGAAGAAAACCTCTGGTAAGAAAGGGAAACAAGACTAAAAGGTTGAGATATGCACAAGAACACATAAACTGGATTATGGAACAACGGTCAAAGGTGCTTTGAATAGACGAGTCAAAGTTTCAGTTATTTGGAACAGTTAAGCACGGAGGAAATTTAATTCAAGTTTGGGGAAACATATTCTCATGTAGTTTTGAACAATAGCTGAAAATTGAGGGCACACTGCCTGCAGTAAAGTTCAAACAAATTCTAATCCACCATGCTATTCCCAGTGGTGCAAAGGAAAGAGGAAGTTGGAGTGTTTAAAAGCATAAAATGCCCCCCTCAAAGACCAGATCGTAATATTATTGAAGCTCTACGTGACTGTTTGGACAAAAACAAAAGTAAAAAACAATCTCATCAAGTTAGATGATCTTTGGAAAGCCTTGGAAGAAGAGTGGAATACCATTCCACAGGAGTTTATAACCAAATTATTTGAAGGTGTCTAGAACAATGATGGTTTTGAAGGAAAAGGGGCGGACACACTCGCTATTGGTTTATATTAAGATATATTGTATATAAATTTGATTGTCTGAATATAATTTTCTTTTTCATATAGGTGTATTTTCATTAGACACAAAGTTTTAGCTTCTTGGTACATTGGAGTAGAACAATGCTAAATGTCCAAGACTTTTACACAGCAGTATGCCTATCTTTCTATACATCTATATCATTTAGCTTTGTTTATCAAATCAAATTCAAAAACACAATTACTAAGTTATAAGGGATCGAAGTGGATTTGTTTATTTTCTCCTTCCTTTTGTAATTCCTTGATGGTGATTCAATACAGAGGATTCCCGTGGACTGTTCCGTTTTAAGAGTTTCGCAGCGATCTCCCTCTCTACAGCAGTTAAAGGGCGTTGCCCTTCATTTCTTGCTGAACTTGTCAGCTTCTACTTTCCAAGATTTAATAACAGGGTAAGACTATTTAAACGCCATTCATCGTTTCCGGAAATGACAGGGGACATCTTACAAGTAATTAGGCAAACGAAGTCATCATTAAAGTGTATGTTAAAGAGATATTGCATTACAGGAGAATGGTAGCTCTATAACTTAGTACAAGTAAGTGTTCATTAAATCATTAGAGGGCGCTCTTAGGGAAGAGATAAATACTGAAACTGGTTTGGATAAACCAGTAAATACATTCAATTACATTAAAATAAAATTCTCAAAAGAATGATACCACAGGAACTCTTCCTGTTTATAAAACTCCAGTATTACAATAAGATTTATACAGCGAATGAGAAAATAGATATATCCATTTTATTCCTCCATTATCAAAACAAAAAATGGCGCAGTTTGTAACATAACAGTTATTAATGAAAGCATCCATGAATTCTCAAATAACGATTGTTTAATTCAACCAAAGGTGTGTTTCAAGGGTAACGTTCAATATTTTTATTTCATTCAATACTCTATCTCCCCTGTACGGAAAAAAATATATTAAATATTAAACAGAGAGTAGAACACTAGAACACGTATATGTTAATAAAATGTAATTATTTTAAATATATTTATAACATCTTCATAAAAGGTTTTAAGCAAGGTGTTCTCCTGATAACTTATAAAAATAACAATAAAAACACATTATGACGAGCACTCATCCCTCCGATATACCAATTATTAAACTGATGGGTGATAATGTCAACATATATCAATCGAATTTGTTAATATTAATATACAATAAGCTACTGACATTGCAAGGGGCCAATGCTTATTTTGCTTTAAAACTAAACCTGCCTCGTTTTGGACACGCTTATTGATTAATGATAACTGTCGTTGGCGTTTTACTAGCTTATAATTTAAATATCTGAATAACGGTAATTATCAAGAACTCTATTATGTCTTAAAAACAGACATTATAAGCAGTTTCTACAAATAACTGTTTGTACTCCAAAACATTACATATTTCAGTTTTATTTATTTCTATCAATATAATTAACCTCCATTGAAAAAAAAAAAGACTTTTCACCCAAGCTGTTAGAAATTCATAACCCCTTCCCGACACTAATGATACATATATTTTCGCCATTCTCTACCTGTGATGGTACAGTGGCTTCGTCTAACTTTCGAGATCGATTCCTCAAAGCCCGCACGCGCTTACATCTTGCGACCCAGGAAATTTCGAGTCAAGCAAGCAGGCGCTCGGCGCAAGACTGCTTGATTTCAAACCCACGGCTATATCGAACCGCCATCTTGGGTAGCATATATATATATATATATTATTTTTTTTACAAAACCTAATCTACCACCAACTCACTGAAATGATTTATTAAACCTAATCGTTCCTCTAAAATGTACATTTATGATGATTTTGAAAATTTCTAAAGAACCTTCAATTTGTTTACATGATATACATTTCATTATTTATAATAAAAAAAACCTGCTTAGTTAGTAATAAAGTTTATTCACATCATTCTTTGACCATTCAAATTAAAGATTATAAACTGTACTGTCATTCATCCGCTAATATTTGGCTATAGTTGAATATGTTTTTACCTATTTCAACCATTTGACGTCAATACGACACTACGATTTATGTTTAAATATCAGAGATTGTTTTAGTTCCGAAGTACTGGTGGATTTTCTGTTTATCTCCTAAAATATATTTGTATAATTGCTTTACAATTCATCGTAACCGACATTCAAGCTGTCAAGTCACGTGAGTGAACAAAAGAATTCATTGGTTGTTTACATTTTGTTAATCTAATAAACATAGCGTCAACGCCATAGCAATTTTTTTTTATTGAGCCGTCACGTCTGATACTGATAGATATTTTGGAATATGTTTGTGGTTATAAAACACATAAATAATGTCACGTTTTTGTTTTATTCTACCTCTAAATAATTTGTAACTTTAATACGAGCGTTCAACATTTAACTATTATTTTATAATTATAAGATAATACAAAAACATACCTTAGTAACCAACCCCGTTATCATAGGAAGCCAGGCGAGCCAAGTGCAAAATCATGACCGTCGGACACCCCTACCTTGCTCCCCTTTCGTGAGCACTCGCTACCACTTCACACGGAGCCAGCCATGACGGTGATTAGGTTGTGGGCGACCGACAGCCTAAGCCTAATAATGTACAGATGATCTGCCATCACTGGGTAACGGTACCTAATAACACTGTTAGTACTTGCGTTGGTACCACTAGTAATGCTGAACAAACACTACGATCTAAGAACAGTGGCACATTTAAGTTCTCAGCACTACCACCACCGAAGAAGATATTAAGTTTTTAATGTGAGCAATTCATAGTAGAATGTCTTTCAACACGGTCACAGTCACGATATAAACGCTCTCGACTACGATTCAACATCCAGTGCACTTTACGCTAGAGGTCGAAGCTTTACATCAAGATCGCCATGGCAACGTACTTTTCCCGTGAGACACCACAACCTATTGCTACAGCCGTGATATCAAATAGGGGGCGTGAGTACCTACTAAGATTCTGTTTTGGTACTATATCAAGGGGCCATCGCTTATTTGATTTCAACATCAAACACAGACTCTAAATTCTCAAAATATCTCCTTCAGGATATCACTAATTTACTTTTTTACATTTAGACAAATTTCTTCGGTTACTGACACTTGTACTATTGAAAATCATAAAGATTTTTCAACATAATTAGCTGTGTAATTTATATTGTGTTGATTAAAATTTTTAATGAAAATCTGTTTGATGTTATGTTAGCAGACGTCGAGTTTAATTTGTTTTGTACTTTTAGTTGAACAGATTCTATAATTAATGCCCAGTATGTCTGCGGACTTACAACGCTAGAATCCGGGTTTCGATACCCGTGGTGGGCAGAGCACAGATAGCTCATTGTGTAGCTTTGTGCTTAATTACAAACAAACAAACTATAATTAATTATTTCTGGAATTAAACACTGATCTCTTAAGTAACAAACTGTAAAGTTTTCGCGCAATTTTTTATTTAATACAAGCTTTATTTTTAAAGAACCTTATGTTTTTTACTACCTTTATCCTCCCTCGATGGGTAAACGGTAAATCTTCGGATTTATAGCGCTAAAATCAGGGTTCGATTCCATTCGGTAGACACAGCAAATAGTCCAAAATGGCTTTGCTATGACAACATCCACCCAACTTTGTTTTATCTTGTAAGAATCCGCTTTTTCTGTACATTTATAAAATGGGAAAACTTTTAATTCCTTTGTTTTTTACTATTTTTAACAAAATAATTTTAATAAACCATAACGACCAATTCAGGTAAGAATTTTTACTTTAGTTTGCAAGTAAGAACTTAGTAAATGATGTATCTAATAAATCATAACGACCAATTCAGGTAAGAATTTTTACTTTAGTTTGCAAGTAAGAACTTAGTAAATGATGTATCTAATAAACCACAACGACCAATTCAGGTAAGAATTTTTACTTTAATTTGCAAATAAGAACTTAGTAAATGATGTATCTAATAAATCATAACGATCAATTCAGGTAAGAATTTTTACTTTAGTTTGCAAGTAAGAACTTAGTAAATGATGTATCTAATAAATCACAACGACCAATTCAGGTAAGAATTTTTACTTTAGTTTGCAAGTAAGAACTTAGTAAATGAAATATCTAATGCTCTGTTTTTCACAGATTAACATGTTAATATTTCTATACAATTTGAAGTAGGAAAATTTAGTCTTCTCGGGTAACTGAGAGTGACATTTCATATGTGATTAGCAATAAGAATGTTTAATTACGTGAAACTTGATATTTATAAGATACATAGCATTTTACTTATTTGAAAATTATGTAAAAGGATTTTTTCAATTCTATTAAGCCTTTTAGCTGAAAATGTAGAGTTACGTACCTTAACACTTTCAAGTGTTTTTCACAAATAGTATTTTCTTCGAAATTTAATAATTTCAAGAGTAGTAAGTTCAAGTGCCTGATATTATTGAGTTTCCATTTTTCAGTGGTAAGTCGCATTTTTTAGAGTAAAATAACTTACCTTGGTTTTTTTTTCATCACACGATTTCTTTATAAAAGGAAATGATTAGGTTATTTAAATATTTTTGAAAAAAATAAGAATTACGTGAAAAATATTATTATTCATTACACTGGACAACAGTGCCTGTATATTGGACGTTGTAAGAACCCTTGAAACTGTCTATCAGTGATTTGTGTTCAGTTTTCTGGCCATGAACATAAACGATTTCCCCACAGTACAATTTCCATTCTAACAAGGTTCTATGGATGATGGTGAGGTCACGCACCCTAACCATCTTTCTACAGACTCCCCACTGTACGTGTAAGTCAACTTCCAAGACTCAAAAGTCCATTAGAGTCGTATTATGTTGGAATGCAGACTCGCAATCTGAGGGTCGCGGGTTCGAATCCCCCATTACCGAACAATCTCACCCGAATGTAAAAATTATTCGCTACCTGAGCGGTCGGCCCGAAAAACTAAATGGGATTAAGATCGAATGATGAAGAACATTCATGTATTCGATGAAAGGCAACCTGAAACTGCCTTGTCAAACCCAATATTGGACATATTCTAGGATCAACAAGATCAGTGTGTTGAGTAAAAGACATCTCAAAACATAATAGATATAATGTACATTCCTCCACTTTGCTCCAATTTGCTCTTATCCAAAGTTATCAGTGAGAGATGGAATTCTCTTAAACTGGTATAACTCAGTGATAAGAGATAATTTGAATGGTAGATTGGGCTTCAAATTGATAGACGTTTTAAGAATTATCAAGTGGTCTGTGATAAACCTATATCTATAAAAGTCACAAAGAAAGTTTTTTTATTGTAGAAACCAAATAAAATAAGCTTTACCCATCGTTTTCAACTTCTTAGAAAGAATGAAATTATGTAAGGCTGTTAAATTGTTTTAATGTTTTAGCTTTTGGATTTTAAAATAAGTTTGATTTAAAATTTTGTTTTAACTTTTGCATTTTAATTAATTATTTTTACGAAAACAATTAGTCAAGAAATGAACATATAACTAAAAGGAATCACAATTCAGGAAGAGCACCATCCAGACATATGTGGCTACAAAACAAAAGAGGAAAAATGGCAGAAAGAGATTGTGCAACATCTCAGTATTAAAATCATCCAGATGTGGCGTGAGTTCAGTTGTTGATGATTGAAGTTCCAGCTGCATAAACGACCTGTTATAATTCTTCTGGCCCTTGAACAAAACCCGAGAAGAGTGTTTTCAGTGCGTGTTTTAAAAAACATTCTACAAGGATGTTGATAATTTCCAGTAGATTAGCCATCGTTATCCACCAGGCTTTAAAGAAATAAGGAGATGGAAATAATGTTACTTTTTGCATCTTGTTTCAAATACTTTAGAACTGGAGGAAGAAGATATTTTAATAGTGAATTTAATCCACTAGTCCCTCTAAGACTACTGGCTTATCCTAGAGACCTGAGCTGTAATCGTCCAAAAGCAACAAGATTGGAAATAGTGGGATATTTGCAAAAGATTCGCCAATTTATATTTTGAGCCTAACAGGTATGGTGGCATGCAGGAGTCCACCACAGTTAAGAGTAAAATGAGATATGCGTCGGGGTCTTGGATATAGTAGCTAGAACTGTAGGGACACTACAACCAGTCCCGGCCTCGACAACCTAATTATCAAGTTCTGAAAGAGCAGTATAGGTAAGCCAGTGGTATCTTCTTCAGTTTACAATGTGGCACACGAATCAGATGGCACTGACTCCTATTATTCTTGCTCAAAACGATATGAAATTATATAACTAGCATATTATCCAGCTACTAATAAAATGAAGGATGGAAAAAGGAGAACTGACGAAAGATGGAAACCCAGTAAAGGCACCAGACTTCAAAGGGAGAGGACGTGAACCAAGAGTAGATGAAATTTTAACAGTCAATTTCAGCCGTAAAAAAAGATGGCATCGTGCACAGTCATGAGATTATTATAAAACTTAGTGCCAACTGAATCCCAGCTACCATGGAGCCATACAAATTGACATCGCACAGAGACTGATCAAATATCTGAGCCGATCAGGGTGATCATGATTGGTTCGGCCACTTGACAACATGTTCACTTCCGGTTCACAGTGAGCGCTTTTCATTTACGATCAGTGTTGGATTTTTTAAGACGGTTGAATATTCACAAATAGCGATGATCGACAACAAGCTATGCTCACACAGATGTATTTGATAAATAAAACCAACGTTTAGAAGTAGACAATAAACATATGTAAAATGAGACTGTAGACAGTCACATTTTAAATATTTATTGTGTACTGTTTTGAGGCTGGTAAAAATGTGACTGTTTCTCCTTCTTTAAGAAAGTAGAATGTCTATAAGATTATGTTTATATCTTAAAGCGATTTTAGTAAGATTTAGAATCAAACAAATAAATTAAGTTGTTAATTAACACCACAAATGATGTTACCATAACCTAGTAATGGTACTAGTAGTGCACTGTTAGTTAGGCTTACTACCAAAATCCAAATAACGTTTTGCATTATAGCCTCTATTACTTTCAGTTTGGCTAAGATATGCGGATTCCTTTACGCCTATTTTACTACACCTAGGAAGGACTATTGGAATTACTTCATCATTGTCATCTTCAAAGCGCTAAACATTAACTCTAGATTTTGTAACCTGTTGTTTTCACTTGTGCCGTTCATTTTGGTTTACTGAGCGGTGTGTCAAGTATGGTACACAGAACATGTGCTAGTCACGCTCATCTTCTCAACTGTTTGATGAGTCTCAGCTGCAATAATCTTCTCCCATTCACAGGTCACCAAGCACAGCAAACATGTTCGTTGATGTTCAGATCCCAAAGTAAGTAAATTGAACAAGCAAATCCTTCCTTGTGAAGTCCCCTCACCACAAACAGGAATAAGTGTCCAGTTGAAATAGACAAAGAAAACGACACAGCATCGTTCTAAAATGTTACTCTACGAAGGTTTTCGTAAAGGGCCGTGACACATAAATATACCGTTGGCACTATTACATTTTATAAACAGCGAAAAGTCACTGATACTTTTAATACTCGTACTCATTACGTACCCTCCCGTATATATTCGGGGCCATAATAAGAAACTGACTCAATTTTTTAGCTCCACTCCACCAAGACAAGCCTTGTAACTTATTATGTTTACCAGACGTGGCCTAGTGATTGGTGTATTCAGACGGCGAATCAAAAAGTTCACCGATCGTATCCCATTGTCGCAAAATCGCGTTCTGCACTTTGGGATCGTGATAAGAATAATCAGTCTCTCATTTTAAAATGAAGGACGAATTATGTAGCTTTGCGCGAAAACTCTAAAACAAATAAGGAATTTTTTT